AAGCCAGCGATAACAGATACTATGACTAGTTACCAAGATACAGAGCACGATAAACATAACATGATAATGATAGTGAAGCCTGGAAGGGTTCATATCATAACTTGTGTGTTCGTGCGTATGTTGCCCCGTGAGAGTTACCGTGGGCCTCCATGTGCCCAGGTGGAATGGTCAAAGTATTATACTATACGTGTGTCAAATGAGGAGTGACTGATCCACATGTAATTTAAGGTTTTTGAAATATGTAGTTAAATTAAACACGATTTTTCATATAGTTACGCGAATGATGGGAAATAAAAGATATAGATGGGGCGTGGTGGAAGCGCTGTAAACGTTGTGTGGATTCACTGGGTGGTTTAGAAGTGTTTATTTTCATTCACACTTTCGTAACTACAACCTATGGTAATTTTTCTACTTGTTCATATATAATGAAGATAATGCAGAGTATAAAATGCCATATACAATATTTATACATAATATCATCTATACAGCTGTACTATGACTGCGTGTGTTCGTGCGTGTGTTGCCTCTTAATAGTTAGAGTGGGCCCCCGTCCAGAAAGGACACTGTACTAACCTCCAGCACCGACCCAGGTGGGCTAAAGAATATGGTTTCCGAGTGTATGTACATACGTGCGTGCGTATAGGTGTGTAGGCCACCCCTGGGGTGTTGAGGGCAACAGTCTATACAAAATCGGAATTATACACTGGGGGCAGGAATTAACACACCTGACTCTTATATGTATATCTATGGGAGGAATAATAAAAATTTCTATGATCACACTGATGTTAGTATTGTAATAAAGTCTTACTTGCTTGGGTGTGGAGGGTGGCTGGCACTTCCCGGGGTGTCTGTTTGTGTGGGGACAGCTAAAGCGCGCATAGGATAGTTGGCCTTCTATCACTGGCCTCAGGGGCGGGAATCGCGAGAGCTCACCTGCTAATGTAGGCCTATCCCACAATTGGGTTAACTGGCACCACCACCCGTTACCCCAAACACTTACAACTCGCCTGGTGATCGCTGGTACACACACGGAAAATTTGCAATCATTGACTGGTTGCTGCACAAAAGAGAGTTGTACGGACAATGACCTACTTGAAAAAAACAGATCACACAAACGAAAAATTTGCTATATTGAAAATTTTAAAATACGAAGATATTAACACCTACTGCTGTGCCCTCTTTGTTTACATATCTATCAATCACTTGCTTGACAATAATTATTTCCATTTCCGGAATAATCAGAGATACAACTTAAGGCACCCAGAGCTACTAAGAACACCCCCCATGCGCTCCTCTCAGTCACAGACCTCCATAAAATATCATGGTGTGAAGGTGTGGAACAACTTACCCCCACCCATCCGAGCAAAGACTACGCTCCCTTCCTTTATATCATCTCTTAAAAGCTATCTATTGTCTAAGTATTAATATTTCTTGTAACACCTACCATATTTACAGTACCTGCTTTTATTGTACCATGAAAACCGTTTTATCGGAAATTATCATGTAAATAAATAAGTAATTACCATTGCAATAAACATAATTGCCAACTAGACATAATCCTGACAGCTCTGTCCTCTCGTTCAACCTTATTACTGTACAACCTATGTTGTACTGCCCCCCCCATTATACTTATGTTTTCAATTCCACTGTAATTTATTTATATATATATATATATATATATATATATATATATATATATATATATATATATATATATATATATATATATATATATATATATATATATATATATATATATAACTAAAAGATAATAAATAAATAAAATTAATAAATATTCAGGTGGTAACCGTGATAACATTATGAGATGTTCTTATTACCACCATGCTATTGTGCTATTCCAGATGATACTAAATGTTACATAATACTTCCTTGAGATAAATGTATAGTATATATCAGGTGCCTAAAAGAGAGCAAAGGTTCTCAACTGGCTCAGCCATGTTAATATTGTTATTATTATCCACTCTGTATCTGTGTTTTTCTGGCTAAATAATCTGTTTCAATTCAATTCAATTCAATTCAAGTTATGAGAAGAACTTTCAGTGGCAATGATTAGGGTGACGTCTGATATTCACCGACACACTGTGAAATTCCTGCTCCCGCCTACTGAGTATGTCCTCTCCACAATCGCTATAGACCAGGGAGGACATATAATTACACCCACCCCATGCTGTTACCTATTACTACTGTACTACTTCTATTAATAATAATAATAACTTTACAAGGCTTTCCTATACCGTTAATTACCTCACAAGACTCCCCTATACCGCTAATAAAGACCTTAAAAGACTGTTCTATCCCGTTGATAAGGACCACACAAAACTCTCCTATACGTTAATAAGGACCTCACAAGACTCTCCCATACGTTAATTAGGATATCAAAAGACTGTCCTGTACGTAATAATGACCACACAAAATTCTCCTATACGGTAAAGGAGGGTCTCACAAGACTCTCCTATTCCGTTAATGAGGACCTTGTAGTCTTACCTATTCAGATAATAAGGACCTCACAGGACTCTCCTATACTTTAATAAGGACCTATTAGTCTTACCTATGCCGTTAATGAGGACACAGGGGAGGATGAGGTTGAAGACATAGAACATAGGTCGACGCCGGAGCTTGATGGTGAAAGTAATGTCCGGGTAAGGCTCAGGACAACACGAGTAGAAAGTGATGTTCTTAGACGCCGTGAACTCCACAAGGTCAAACTCCCCGTTGGACTGATAGTTGGACATGTCACCCGTGTCCATCTGCTTCATCAGGTCCAGCTGCCGGGGACAGATGGAGCTTTTAGTAAGGTTCAGCAGGTTACATGGACAAGTGGTATAGCATCAGCAGGTGCCAGAGACAGGTGATATAGTTTCAGCAGGTGATAGAGGCAGGTGATACAGCTTCAGCAGGTACCAAAGACAGGTGATATGGCTTCAGTAGGTGACAGAACAGGTGGTACAACTTCAGCGGGTGACAGGGACAGGGGATATAGCTTCAGCAGGTAACAGGATAAGTGATATAGCATCAACAGGTGACTGGGACAGGTGGTACAGTTTCAGCAGGTGACAGGGACAGAAGGTATAGCTTCAGCAAGTGGTAGGGACAGGAGGTATAGCCTGAGCAGGTGACAGGAACAGGTTGAATAGGTTCAGCAGGAGACAGGGACAGGTGATATGGCTTCAGCAGGTGACAGGGACAGGTAGTATAGTTGCAGCAGGTGGCAGGTCAGGTGGTATAGCTTCAGCAGGTGACAGGGACAGAAGGTATAGCTTCAGCAGGTAAAAGGGACAGGTGATATAGCTTCAGTAGGTGACAGGGGCAGGTGATATTGCTTCAGCAGGTGACAGGGACAGGTGATATAGCTTCAGTAGGTGGCAGGGACAGGGGATATAGCTTCAGCAGGTAACCGGGACAAGTGGTACAGCTTCAGCAGGTGACAGGGACAGAAGGCATAGCTTCAGCAAGTGGTAGGGACAGGAGGTATAGCCTGAGCAGGTGACAGGAACAGGTTGAATAGGTTCAGCAGGAGACAAGGAAAGGTGATATAGCTTCAGCGAGAGACAGGGACAGGTGATATGGCTTCAGCAGGTGACAGGGTCAGGTGGTATAGCATCAGCAGGTGGCAGGGTCAGGTGGTATAGCTTCAGCAGGTGCAAGGACAGGTGATATAGCTTCAGCAGGTGACAAGGACAGGTGATATAGCTTCAGTAGGTGACAGGGGCAGGTGATATTGCTTCAGCAGGTGACAGGGACAGGTGATATAGCTTCAGTAGGTGGCAGGGACAGGTATTTAGCAGGTGACAGAGGGGTGATATAGTTCAGCAGGTGACAGGGACAGGTGACAAGCTTCAGTAGGTGACAGGGACAGGTGTATATCTTCAGCAGGTGAGAGAGAGAGGTGATAGTTTCAGCAGGTGACAGGGACAGGTGGGTATAGCTTCAGCAGGTGGCAGAGATCAGGTGGTATAGCTTCAGCAGGTGACAGGGACAGGTGATATATATTCAGCAGGTGACAGGGACAGGTGACATAGCTTCAGCAGGTGACAGAGACAGGGGATACATATTCAGCAGGTGACAGGGACAGGTGATATAGCTTCAGCAGGTACAGCAGGATCAGGTGGTATAGCTTCAGCAGGTGACAGGGACAGGTGACATAGCTTCAGTAGGTGACAGGGACAGGTGATATATCTTCAGCAGGTGACAGAGAGAGGATATAGTTTCAGCAGGTGACAGGGACAGGTGGTATAAGCTTCAGCAGGTGCGGGGTCAGGTGGTATAGCTTCAGCAGGTGACAGGACCAGGTGATATATATTCAGCAGGTGACAGGGACAGGTGATATAGTTTCAGCAAGTGACAGGGACAGGTGATGTTAGCTAGCAGGTGGCAGGAGTCAGGTGGTATAAGCTTCAGCAGGTGACAGGGACAGGTGACATAGCTTCAGTAGGTGACAGAGACAGGGGATATATATTCAGCAGGTGCAGGGACAGAAGAGTATAGATTCAACAGGTGACAGGGACAGGTGATATAGCTTTAGTAGGTGAAAGGGATAGGTGATATAGCTTCAGCAGGTAACAGGGACAGGTGATATAGCTTCAGCAGGTGACAGGGACAGGTGATATATCTTCGGCAAGTGACAGAGAGGTGATATATTTTCAGCAGGTGACAGGGACAGAAGGTATAAGCTTCAGCAAGTGGTAGGGACAGGAGGTATAGCCTGAGCAGGTGAAGGGACAGGTTGAATTGGTTCAGCAGGAGACAAGGACAGGTGATATAGCTTCAGCGGGGCAGGGACAGGTGATATGGCTCAGCAGGTGACAGGGACAGGTGGTATAGCTGCAGCAGGTGGCAGGTCAGGTGGTATAGCTTCAGCAGGTGCCAGGACAGGTGATATAGCTTCAGCAGGTGACAAGGACAGGTGATATAGCTTCAGTGGTGACAGGGCAGGTGATATTGGCTCAGCAGGTGACAGGGACAGGTGATATAAGCTTCAGTAGGTGACAGGGACAGGATATAGCTTCAGCAGGTAACAGGGACAAGTGGTACAAGCTTCAGCAGGTGACAGGGACAGAAGGTATATCTTCAGCAGGTAACAGGGACAGGGGTATAGTTTCAGCATGTGACTGGGACAGGGGTATAGAGTTCAGCTGGTGACTGGGACAGTGGTATAGCTTCAGTAGGTGACAGGGACAGGAGTTTTTAGCTTCAGCAGGTGACAGGACAGAAGGTACAGCTTCAGCAGGTGGGGACAGAAGGTATAGCTTCAGCAGTAGGTGACAGGGACAGGGTATAGTTTCAGCAGGTGACTGGCACAGGGTATAGCTTCAGTAGGTGACAGGGACAGGGGTATAGCATCGGCAGATGGTGGGACAGAAGGTAAGCGTCAGCAGGTAACAGGGACAGGAGGTAAGCTTCAGCTGGTGACAGGGACAGGAGGTATCCTTCATCAAATGAGTGGAGAGGAGATATAGCCTCAGCAGGTGACAGGGACAGGTGATGGCTTTGGCCGACAGCAAAGTGGTGCAGCCTTGAGCAGGTGACAGGAACAGGTTGAATAGGTTCAGCAGGAGACAGGACAGGTGATATAGCTTCAGCAGGAGACAGGGACAGGTGATATAGCTTCAGCAGGTGACAGGGACAGGTGATGGCTCAGCAGGTGACAGGGACAGGTGATAAAACTGCAGTGACAGGGACAAGTGATATAGCTTCAGCAGGTGACAGAGACAGGTGAGTATAGCTTCAGCAGGTGACAGGGACAAGTGATATAAGCTTCAACAGGTGACAGAGACAGGTGATGTAAGCCAGCAGGTGACAGGGACAGGTGATAGCTTCAGCAGGTGACAGGGACAGGTGATGTTAGCTGACAGGTGACAGGGACAGGTGATATAGTTCAGCAGGTGACAGGGACAGGTGGTATACTAGCAGGTGAGAGACAGGTGGTATGTAACAGCAGGTGACAGAGACAGGTGGTATAAGCTTCAGCAGGTGGCAGGGTCAGGTGGTATAGCTTCAGCAGGTGACAGGGACAGGTGTTAAAGCTAGCATGTGGGGACAGGTGATATAAGCTAGCAGGTGACAGAGACAGGTGATATAAGCTTCAGCAGGTGACAGAGACAGGTGATATAGTTTCAGCAGGTGACAGGGACAGGTGGTATAGCTTCAGCAGGTGGCATGGTTAGAGTGGTATAGCTTCAGCAGGTGACAGAGACATGTGGTGTAGCTTCAGCAGGTGACAGGACAGGTGGTAGAGACTTCAGCAGGTGACAGGGTTAGGTGGTATAGCAGCAGGTGACAGGGACAGGTGATATAGCTTCAGCAGGTGACAGAGATCAGGTGATATAATCAGCAGGTGACAGGGACAGGTGGTATAGCTTCAGCAGGTGGCAAGGATGGAGTGTAGTAGCTTCAGCAACACACGGTCAGAGTCTGTAAGCTACAGCAGGTGACAGGATCCAGGTGGTAGCTTCAGCAGGTGGCAGGGTCAGGTGGTATAGCTTCAGCAGGTGACAGGACAGGTGATAGCTTCAGCAGGTGACAGGACAGGTGATATAGCTCAGTAGGTGACAGGGACAGGTGATATGCTTGGTGACAGGGACAGGTGATCAAGCAGTAGGTGACAGGGACAGGGATATAGCTTCAGCAGGTAACAGGGACAAGTGGTACAGCTTCAGCAGGTGACTGGGACAGAGGTATATCTTCACAGGTAACAGGGACAGGGCATGGTTTCAGCATGTGACTGGGACAGGGGTATAGAGTTCAGCTGGTGACTGGGACAGTGGTATGATCACAGGGTGACGAGGACAGGAGGTTTTGCTTCAGCAGGTGACAGGGACAGAAGAGGTACAGCAGCAGGTGACAGGGACAGGAAGGTATAGCTTCAGTGGGTGACAGGGACAGGTGCACGGTTCCAGAAGGTGACTGGCACAGAGTGCCAAGCTTCAGTGGGTGACAGGGACAGGAGGTATAGCATCGGCAGATGGTGGGACAGGAGGCATAGCGTCAGCAGGTAACAGGGATAGGAGGTATATAGCTTCCAGCTGGTGACAGGGACAGGAGGTACTGTCAAATGAATTAGGACAGGAGGTATAACCTCCAGGAGGTGACAGGGACAGGTGATATGGCTTAAGCCGGTGACAGCAAAGTGGTGCAGCCTGGGCAGGTGACAGGAACAGGTTGAATAGGCTCAGCAGGAGACAAGGACAGGTGATATATAAGCTTCAGCGGGAGACAGGGACTGGGTGATATAGCTGCAGGTGACAGGAACAGGTGATGTGCTTCAATAGGTGACAGGGACTGGTGATAAAGCTTCAGCAAGGTGACAGGGACAAGTGATATAATCAGCAGTGACAGAGACAGGTGATATAGCTAGCAGGTAGACAGGAACAGGTGATTAAGCTTTAGCAGGTGACAGGGACAGGTGATTTAGCTTCAGCAGGTGAGCAGAGACAGGTGATATAGACTGTGAGTGACAGGACAGGTATGATAGCTTCCAGCAGGTGGCAGAGGTCAGGTGGTATAAGCTTCAGCAGGTGACAGGGACAGGTGGTATAAGCTTCAGCAGGTGGCAGGGTCAGGTGGTATAGCTTCAGCAGGTGACAGGGCCAGGTGGATACAGTCTGTGCAGGTGACAGGACAGGTGACATAGCTCAGTAGGTGACAGAGACAGGGATACATATTCAGCAGGTGACAGGGACAGGTGATATAGCTCAGCAGGTGGCAAGAGTCAGGTGGTATAGCTCAGCAGGTGACAGGGACAGGTGACATAGCTCAGTAGGTGACA